GCATACCATGGCGTACATCAAGCTGCCAACGGCGGATACATAAGGAATCTTCTTCAGTTCTTCTTTTTCTTTCTCACTTGAAGGACATTGACTGAGACTTAATTTGAAATGACTTGCAAGTAGAGTAGAAACTGGTTTCGCATTGCTCATATTGAATCTGCTGAGAACTTTCTCGATATACTTTTCTTGAGACAGCCACAACTTTCTCTTTTTCTTTCCTGTCTCTGGAGATCTTTCATTCACGAGTAATCTGTTTTGCCTGATCCAAATCCTTCATGCAAACGGATTTTCCAAGCTTCCTTTTTCAAGCTCTCAATTTTTTAGCAACTTGGCCACACAATAAGCACTATCAATCCCACATATAACAAGAAGAATAATAAAGGTACCTATCTACGAAACTTTTTTACACAAACACACAATGATCAGAAGTAGTTTTACTGCAATACCCGTAGTTTAATCTGAAAAGAGTCAACTTTTTGGTAACCACTGTCCTGGGTGCTTGTTTGAGGCCCATACAAGCTCTTCTGGCCAATCTTACCACCAATGTTCTTTTGCCTTGACTCTGAACCCTTCTGCTGTCCATATATTTTCCTCGTCTAAGTCACCATGGAGGAAAGCGGGTCCTTTACATCAAGTTGCCTCGATCTCCAAATTCAAGCTAGCTGCTAATTCCCGATGCAGCGAACTGCTTGATAGAGTACATCTTGACAACGGGTGAAGAAATTTCTTCAAAACGTCACACTCCTTTTTTTGACCGAATCCCTTCACACCAGTCTCGGCCTCTCGCCTTGTACCTTGGCTGTGAGTTGTTCTGTTCAGTCTTCAACCTGAACACCCATTTGTTTTTCAGTGCCTTCTTACCTTGAGGCAGTTTCACCAACACATAAGTCCGGTTCTCATGCAAGGACTCCATCTCATCTTGCATGACTTTCCACCACTCATTCTTTTTATAATCTTCCATTGCCTCCTAGTAGTTCTCTGGTTCTCCCCCTTGAGTCAATAAGTCATACTCATTAGGAGAATATCTCTGGGAAGGTATCCTACCTCTCGCAGATCTTCTTAATTGAGGCAGTTCTTCTGTAGGACCTGGTTCTTCCTATTGGAGCTGGGTTCAGCATCATTCTGAATAGTATTTTCAATGCATCATTCTTCTCACAAACCATTTTCGTGGGTTCTTACGAGGTTTTGGCATCAAAGACTAACAGGAAATCATTGATGGACTTATTGGTGTTCATATTTTCTCAATAAGTCCTTCAATGGTTTGGCCCTCTCAGGGAAAACGACAGTCTCTGCTTACTGATGAGCTCTTTTTCAACTGATCCCATAATCTGTACCACAAAATCATCAATGTATCCATAACCCAAGAAAGATACACTGTTTTGACTCATTCGAAATCAAGCATTGGATCTTTTTCCATGCTTTTTGGGAACAATGAAAAAAGCCCTGCAGCCAAAATATTCTAAGATGATCGTTTAAGAAATATTTTTCCCTGCCTACCACCTTTTCTTAGGAACCATTCTCCTTTGAGGGAAGGTTGAAGGTGAAAGTTGGATCAAAGTAAACTGCAGTATTCCTTGCTTCAGCCCAAAAGGTTTTTTAGGAAAGTTTAGCATGAGAGAGTGAACCCTTCAACAATGGTTTCTATTCATTCTCTCTGCAAACTCCATTCTGCTGTGGAGTTTTGGGAACCATGTCTATTCTGAAGTCTGATGCCGTGTTCTGAGCAATTACTTCTCAACATGGACCTTGTAACTCACCACCATTATCCAGCTCTAACAGCATTATTAGTTTCTTACCCGTTTGTCTTTCAATCAACACTGACCCTGCCCATGGGAAAGACTTTAAACATATCCAGCACCTGGTTTTTTTGACCTTTATTGGGGAAAGCCCACACTTTCCGCCCACACCTTTCTAGAATGGTCATCAATAAAGCTAACATAATATGAGCAACCACTCAAGGATTTGTCACCCATTGAGCAAACATCAGTGTGTACCAAATCTAGAATACCAGGTTTTCTAGATGGAGAAGGAGATCTTTGAAAGGAAACTCTATGTTGTTTACCAGACAAACAATCGGTGCATATCTTTAGAGGCAAACCTTTCAGAGATAGCATTTTCTTCTTAGTGAGAGTCTCCATTCCTTTCTCACTCAAATGCCCAAGTCGTTTGTGCCATAACTCAACAGATGAATCTTCAACTGCATTCACTACCCTGTGCAAACTTTGGCCTGAGGGCCTGGGTGTAGTAGAGGGTGTTGAACTTTCTTCCTCGACCGAACACCAAGTTACCTTTGGAAAGCTTCCACGTTCTGTTAACAAACAGATTTGCATATCCCAATTCATCAAGACAATGAACTGAGATCAGATTGAAGTTTGCTGTAGGAGTGTATCTTACATCTTCCAACCAGAGATCATAACCAGCATTGGTTTTGATGCATACTGTTCCAATGCCGCAATTTTCCACATAAGTGCCATTCAAAGTCTTGACATGGCCGTAATCTCCGAGGGTAAGTGAAGAGAAATATTCCTTCTTTGAAGAAATATGATAAGAACATGCAGAGTCAATAATCCATAGAGATTGTTGACTAGTGGAACACTCACTGAGACCAGCATGAGAAATCAGCGCACTACCATCACCAAGTGCGTCAGGTCAGCCATCAATAGCTTACTGAGCTACCTCCGTTCTCATCTTTTCCTCATTCATTTTCTTTGGGCTCGTTCCTTCTTCTCTATTCCACTTTCGCAGTGCCTTTGATTGTGACCGGGCTTGCCCCACAATGATAACAAAGTTTGACCACCCCTTTTTCTTACCTTGGATCTTCTCCGTGAATGGTCCATTTTGTCTGGATTTTCGGGAATATCTAGTTTTGCTCTCCCCTCCTTTCTGAACTGTTAACAGAGTCATCTGAGTTTCTACTCGTTACCATTCTCCTTACGTCTGGTTCTTCATTTTCAGAATGCTTTCCTTAACTGTGGTTCAAGGTCAGATTCCCCTCCGACACATTACTGAGCGTAACAGTTCAGTGTCTCCCAACTGTCCGACAACGAACTCAATAAGAATAGTGTCTGCACCTGGTCGTCACACACTATTTTTTGACGTCGTCAGTTGGTTTACTATTTCTTGAAATTTGCCCAAGTTGATCTGAAGCACTTTCGCCATCTCTGCTACTTTTAGATTTACAAGCTTTACAAGCTTTTTAATTAAAAAGGCTTTGTTCTGGGCATTCTTCCGCTCGTACATGTCCTCCAACTTCTTCCAAATTGAATAGGCATCTTTCTCATGAGCGATATGATTTATGACACTCATTTCAACAGACTGTCTGATGGTTGCGACTGCTTTTCTGTTAGTCGATTTCCAATCAGTCTCATTTATTGAAGTTGGTTTGGCCCCTTTCAACTCAATCGTTTCAAAGAGATCTTTACAGCATAGAAGATCTTCCATTAATATCTTCCATACTTTCAACTCAATCGTTTCAAAGAGATCTTTACAGCATAGAAGATCTTCCATTAGTATCTTCCATACTGCATAGTTTGATGAGTTGAGTCTAACCATTGTTCCTCTTGTTTTATCGTCCATTTTTGACTTGTGCAGAATATTATCACCAACAACAACCGTACACGTGAATAGTAGTCTACGTGAATAGTGACTGTATGCGTGAATAATAGTATACGTAAATAGTATCTGTATGCGTGAATAGTAACTATACACGTGAATAGTGCTGGGCTTGCTTGAATTCATTATCAACTTTGAGTTACTATTTTACTATTCATCACTAGGTCGATTCTGCAACGTTTTTTTGAACTGACTGCACCAATGGACTCGTCATAATTTTCTCGTCGTCGTGGTAATATTTATTTTCAAAATATATCCACGGATCCGGTAAAACCTTCGGCTCTGATACCATTTGTAGGCCCGGTCAATAAAATTATGAGGAATAATTAAACACAGCGAAAAAAAATAAAATATGACACACAGATTATTTACCGTGGTTCACCCTTAACTGTTTAGGCTACGTCCAACGGATAAAAAAAACCGAATAATTCTTCCACTATTTAAAAAGTTAGGCTTACAAAAGAAAGTTAATTTCAAAAAATAGTGGCACTCAAAAAGTGTTTTCCCAAATTATCCTCACTATTCTCTCTACCTCCCGATTTTTTAAAACCCAATTCTAAACAAACTGAAACTCTCAAACAACACTCTCTCGCATCGGGGTGTGCTTGAGATGGCTGAGCCATCTCCCTATTTATAGGAGGGTGGACGCCGTTAATTATGCGTTCCACCGGAAAATTACAGGTCATTTATAGGAGAGGGTGGACGCGTTAATTATGCGTCCACCGAAATACAGGTCACCTACCAAAGGAATCTCTCATTTCCTTCTTTCCTTTTTCAACTACGTGTGGTTCCTACCACGTTTTCTTTTTTTTTTATTTTATTTGTTTCAAATGTGGATCCCATTGAGTGGGCACCGCACAACAGTTCTTCGCACAAATTGCTTCCTTCTTTATAATAAGAATTCTTTGTGGTTTTGAAGCTGTCGACAGTAACTTGTGGTAAACATAAGTTCACATTTTCTTTGGCTGCAGTTGACATTTTCTGTAAACATAAGTTTTACAGAATTCTTCAATAAGAATTCTTTTGTGCACGCTTTTGTTCTGTGATTAATTGGGGTAATTGGTTGGAATTACAAAGGGTAAAAATTTTGAATTTTTAAATATTACAACTCTTATAAGATTTGATTTGATTTTACTTTCACTTTGACGAGACATATGAGAAAGAGTAGTAACACACTGTTTTAAAAATATTATAAAGTTAATATGTGCAATTAATTTTCCTAAGCTTATGGGCAGATGGTAGGTGGTCTGAGGGCAAAAGATTATATATTTTCATAGGCAAAAATTATATATTTTAATCTGGATAGTTGAATGTCTGAATTGTAATATTAGTTACAAAAAATTGAGTAGGATTGAATTTGGACTGTTGTCAATGCAGGATCAGAACTTTTGCACGTTTGTTATTATAGTTGTTGTTTATCCAAAAGTTAATAATGAGGATTCAGGCTTTTCATTGGTTGCATTTTTATTATCTCTATGTTCATTTTGTCTTTCCCCTCTCCCTCTCCTTCCCGTTTTCCAGTCAAACGACCATTGTTTTTGGCGAGTGAGGCTCTAAAATCATTTATTCGTCGCAAGGAGTACGATTCAAGCCTTGGTTTGCGCGATTTGAGCCCGGATCGAGAGAAAATTCGACCGAAAGGGTTTGGCGCCGTCGCAGCAACTTTTCCAGCCATTCACGCCGTTTTAGGTGACCTAAGAATTCGAGGTAGGTTTCGATCGATTCCTCTCCTCTTCCTCTTTCATTTGACTGTTTCGGTGTTGAGTATGGTGGCCGGAATCGGAAAACCCAAAGCGGTGTCCACGGAACATTCTAGGTCGATTTTCTGCCAAATGGTTCACATCCACCTTAATTTGATCACATATTAGTGATCCTTTCGTCCAAACGAATAAAATATTGTATCGTTTGTAAAATTGGGTGGTTCGATTTGCCAGCCAAGGTGCACGGCTGCCGGCGGCTACGGTCCAGTGGCCGGTTGCTGGGGACCCTAAATGCAGAATCTCCGGCCCTTCACGTGGAGCACGATGGTACCGTCGATATATTGACTCGTGAGCAATAACTTCGAATTCTAAATAAATTGCAATTTTTTTCGATTTAAATTGTTGAATTCTCATCATGCGCAGAGGAAAATAAGGCTGGCGCCTGGCTCTGCTCCACCAAGTGTGAGACAATAGTGCACGCCAGGTTAGCGTAAATGTTCAAAAAAGCGAAGAACGTGATATGATGTGACGTGATATGATGTGACAATGTAGGCATATCTGACTTAGTGGGTTAATATTAATGGTACTACATGCGTTTGTGCACGCTTTTGTTCGGTGATTAATTAGGGTAATTGGTTGGAATTATAAAGGGTAAAAATTTTGAATTTTTTTAATATTACAACTCTTTAAGATTTGATTTGATTTTACTTTCATATGACTGAGACATATCAGAGAGAGTAGCAGCACAGTGTTCTAAAAATAATATAAAGCTAATATGAATAGCAATTAATTTTCCTTGAGTGGTAGGTGGTTTGGGCGTTGATAAAAGTACCGTTCATTTTAATTTGAATCGTTCGATATCTGAATTTTAATCTTGGCCGTTGATATAAAAATTGTGTAGGATTGAAGTTGAACTATATTAGTGGGTCCACGCTGGTGGTAGAGGTCACGTGTAGGTGGACAATAGGAGAAAAATATCTTGTCTTGAGAGGACATACTTGGTAATCTTGCAATATATAATTGTCACTGCACCAAGTGAAATCGAGTTTGTGTCTCCAATTTCCCAAGTAAAATTCCAGCTGTCCAGGTCCAATTTTTCTTTTTTAAATAAAAAGTTAAAAAATAATTTACTATTAAAAGAAAGCATAAAAAAACACATCACTTTCTTTGAATAGATTTTCACTTTCTTTCTCTGACCTTCTGAGAAATTAATGGCAGCTGAACAGGTTAATAGGCCACCATCACTCTCTCGTTACCTTGAGGTATAAAAGCATCACCTATTTCTATTTTCACTGTCTTCTGAACAAAGAGAAGGAGAAAAAAAAAAAAAAATGAGAAAGGGAAATATTTTTCCATTTATCATTCTTATATTTTTCAAAATGATAATAATAATATTAATTTTAATAATTTCGTGATTAGATTTTGTTCTATCTATAATTGATCTATTATTTTTCATCTGTAATTATTTTTCTTTATTTATCTGACTTTTTTTATTTTTTTATTTTATGTTTTCTTTTTCATGTGTCTAGAGACGAGATTATACCCATTTTGAGTTTAGAGCGGTTTGCTGCAAGCTCTTGTTTAACTTCTCAAATAAGAAGGAGAAATAAATTTGGGGTTTTTTGTTTGGGGTTTTTTTGTTGAATGTTTTTATTATGAATTGATAACATGAGGCTGTTGTCTGTTTCTAATTTGAATCTTTTTGTTTAGGTGTGTGATTGGAGACTCTCATTTGCTGATGCTGCTTATTTATTGTTTCTACTTTGATGTCTTCGTATCTGTGCATGAATTTGGGCATGCCGTTTCTGCTGCCAGGTCACTTCTTCTTTTACTTCTGTTTTTCTTTGTTCTTGTTTTACAGAATTCTTTGATGGTAAACATAAGTTTTACAGAATTTGAGTAACAACGGTGTTCTTGTTTCCTTCATTTGATGTGGCATAAGTTTACAGGAATTTGAGTTAAACAACGGTGTTCTTGTTTCCTTCATTTGATTTGTGGCAGCTTCCTTTCCCTGTTTTTTTTTTTTTTTTTTTTTTTGTGAAAACCCATTAGTAGCAGAACTTTAGATATTCTGGGATTTTTAATAGAGTATTTTTATATATTAAATTTGTCTTATTGCTCTATATATTAGCTAGGTTATTAACTTAATTTAACCTCAAGCTCATGATTGAATATGGATATACATTAAAGCTTGTTGTTCACTTTGTTGGATGCTGTTCTTGTTCCCTTTTTGCTTAGTGTGTTAAACATTTCAGTTCTATTATTCTTTTTTTTGCTTTTAAAATTGAAAGCATGTGATTGTCTTCTTTCTTGAGTACTTTTATGGCTTATTTTTCGAGATATCAATTTTTTTTTTATTCTTAAAGTTGCTGTTTCACCTAATGAAATACCCCGAATTTTTATTTTCGAAACCTTTGAATTTTTATTAAATCAAAAATTTCGATTTTTGACAGTATGGGCCGTAAATAGTGAACAATAGTGACAAATTTCAATAGTAAACAATTTTAATTTGAGTTCAAGTTCTTGCAAATTGGGCCCAAGCCCAAATATAATGTCGAAAATTTTGAATCGAGAACAGTTAAATTTTCGGTTAATAAAATGAAAGTCCAGATTATGTATATATATATAAATTAATTTTCCTAAAAATCAAATATGATTACTAATTATATTTTTATTTTATTTAGTTAACGGAGGAATGTTATGAAACTTAATTAAAATAATTAAAATAAATTGAACTGGACCCGAAACGGGAGTTGATTTTTCGAAAACCACACGAATAATCTGAAAAATAAGTGAAAAACTTGCAAACCGAACAAAATAGAGCCGAATCATTGAAATTAGACCAAACCGGTTCGAATCGAACCGGAATGGTCTAGAAGCCCAAGATTTTTTCTTTCTTTTCCTTTTTTTTTCTTTTTTTTTTCTTTTTCTTTTCTTTTTCTTTTTTTTTCTTTTTTTCTTTTCTCCTTCTGCGCCAGCGCCATGCGCGCGACACCCCCTTCCCCTCCCCCCTCCCCTTTTTGCTTTTCTTTTTCCGACCACCGGAGACCATCGCCAACCTCATTGTCGCCTCGTCACTGCAGCAGCCCTCGCTTCCCTTCTTCTCTCTCTCCTTTCGTTTCTGGCGTACACTCACAGGAGACTTGCGAGTTTGTGATCGGGAAATCGCGTGGTCTCTTTAGCTCAACCCTCCGGCGATCGATCGACTCCAGCTTCATCCCCGTCGACAGCGTAGCTCCGCTCCCTCCTTCTCCATCGTCATTCACCTACTGGTGCAGCAAATCGCAAGGAGTTGCGACATCGTTCTTCGGCAGGGACAGTGGCATTTCTTTTCTTTCTTTCTTGCACTTTTCCGACGAGGCCCCCCACCAGCCGGCGGAACCAGCTCCTCCCTCGCTGTCGAGGCCCCCCACCAGCCGGCGGAACCAGCTCCTCCCTCGCTGTCATCTCTTTACCCCACGTCACTGTTCCTTCCTCCGGCCAAATTAGCGACGGCAGAATCAGACTTTGCTCATTGGAGCTGTTTCCGGTCACTTTTATCCAAAATATTCAGTTTTTCGGTATTTTCGCAACTGTATAAGCAATTTCCAACCTTTCTTTTAGTAATGTATGTTGTTTTTTTTTTAATTTGATTGAAGGATTGAGCATAAATCAAAGTTTATGAAGGGATTTTCATTTCTAGCTTTTATTCATGCTATTTTATTAGAGAAATTTAATTCTTCATACTAAATTTAGGCTATAACTAATTTAATGAGCAATTTAGTACAATTAGGATTAACTTCTCAAGTAATGTAAAATTTACTTAGATGATTATTGCTTTAATGAATTCATGATATTGGAGGAAAAAAAACTAGGTGCTAAGCTAATGTTGAAAAATTCTAGGAGAAGATTTAAAATTGTTTTACGTAATCTGAAGCTAGAGTTGAATCCTTATAAAAGAAAAGGTTAGATTATTCGTATACAATTGCTTTCCGCATTATTCTTTACTTGGACCCCATTGAGAATTGATGGGATGAATGATGGGATGAGAATTGATGCGATAAATAAATTTCTTGCCGAATGGCGAATTTGTTAGCATGTAGGTTGTAGGTTTGATTAGAAACTTGGTTTTTGTATTGGTATGAAGAAAGAAAGACACATATAAGCTTATGTACGACTTATGAGGTATATTCATATAAATGTGTGGGAAGAGGTTAAGCTTGAAGTCTTAAATGCCTAGGTACCAATGAAAAGATATGGAATAAGAATTAATCATGAAAGTTAATTATGCACATATGCTTGTATATACATACGTATGTATCCAATGACTGATAAATCATATGCTTGTTATACATACGTATGTATCCAATGACTGATAAATGATGTTATTTAGAAATAATGAATTTAAGCCTCATGTAAAGTTGTTAATGGATGTATTAAATGGCGATATTGTCATTTAAAGGCGAACGGGCTATTCGATTTGATTTGATTGCTCGACGGATGGGCTACTTGGTGATTAATATTATATATTTATTGTGATATTTAAATAGGTACGATAGTCCTATTTTAGGGGAACCTATTTTTAGGGGAGATGCTGCCGAAATTTCAATAGAACCTAGACTAGTTTTAATTAATGACATGATTAAATAAGTTCATTTAGATTAATTCTATGACTTGGTACATAATAAATAGAGTGCTCTGATTATTTATTATTATTTTTATTACTCATATAATTATTTTACATATTTATTTATTTATTTTCATTATTATTGTTATTATTGTTATTTATTTTATTATTGTTGTTTATTGTTAAGACTATTTATTTATTTATTTGCATTTGATTTTGGATGTCTAATTGTGCATTGCATTACGATGGATGTTTAATTGATTAATATGGCTTGCCTTTAATTCATTACTTTTCTACTTATTGTATATATGTTTATATTTGAACATTAGCATAACAATGTTTGTTCATTTAATGTGCTTGCATTTAATTGTAATGTTTGATTAGATGTGTTGTGACATTCCTATGCCTTGTTTGTGTGGAATTGGGATGAAATGGGTCACTATGGGTTTGTGAGGACGGTCCTGGAAATGATGAAAATATGGAAATTGACCGTTGACCAGGTTTGGGGAGATCGACGCCCCCGTGTACACCTGATGAAATGATATGGATGATATGGAAAATCACAGGGTGGCCTCCTGTTGGTATGGAAAAGAAAAAAGAGAATGAAAAAACAATGAGGGGGCTGGTCAAGTGAGGATTAGACCGGTCGACCATGTATGGGGGATCGGCTTCCTGGTGCACATGGTGGCACACGTTATGAGAAGGATGGGCCATGTGGGAGGACGGCCTCATCGGGGTTTCGGTGAGCGCCACAGACCAAATTTTCAGTGATGTGATTATATGAAGATGTTAATAATTGTGAGTGCTGGTGATATGCCATTTGTGTGACTGGCTGTGTGACATAATAACTAATCGGATGACTTAGATTGATATATTTATACATTTGTGTGACTGTATGTGTTGTGCAATAATTATCATTTTAGGAAAAACTCACATGTCTTGTTTAATTTTTTCAGGAAGTAAGTTCCTCTTTAGTTCGAATTAGGTTACGTTTCTTTGACGCAAGGCATCAAAGAAATTTTCCTTAATTCCATAATTATTTCAGTATGTAACTGTATGTATAAAAGGCTATGTATATCAAATAGTTAGTGACTCCGCAGTTGTAGAATTTACTTACCTACTGTATGTATAAAAGGCTATGTATATCAAACAGTTAGTGACTCCGCAGTTGTAGAATTTACTTACATTTAGTCGTGTATTATCGTAGATGAAATGATTCTGTGACCCTATATTAGAAATGAGATGAAATAAATCTTGAGGCTTATTTTTTTTGTAATATGGGCTGAATATTTGAAATTTATATTAAGATAGCAAATTTAGTGTTTCAGACTTACTACGGGCCTCGGGGGCCTTAAACTTACCTGGGCCCTAGTGCCGGTCTGGCCCGTGGAATCGGGTCGTGACACCTAAGTTCCGGTGATATTTGTTTGTTTTTCTTTAATTTTTTCTTACCATACTATATCAGCCTAGAGATTGGCTAATGAACTTGTAAACTATGTATGCAGACATATCACGATGCTAAATTGAATCCTGTCCTTTTGTCTGAACTTCATTTGTCATTTCATTGTTTCTAAAATCTTTTTCATTTATTTTGGATTGTAGGACAAAGGAGCAACTTGGTTATGTTGATAAATGCAGCCCAAAAGTTATACTGCTAGTTTTATGGCTTCTGGTAACTAGTTCTTTTCACCTATGCTGTCTAAGTTGTATATTTATTGGTCCCATGGTACAACCTTAAATGCAAAATCATATTATGTTCTAAGATAGTCAATTCACCTAATAATCGCACCATTAGTAAAATATTTTGAGCTCAAAGGTATAATAAAGTACTTAATTGTATTGATTAATCATATAATTATTATCTTAATAATTTAATCAGAAGCAAGGAGTCATTTACTTTTCCTCTTCTTTTTGCCTTATTTTTATTAATTTAACCTTAATATTTAATCTTGAATTTAATATCTCTTTAAAAAATCTTAAATCTTAATGTAAATACTTGATGATTTTTATTTTTCATTTTTAACTTTAGAAAAATTATTTTTTAAAATATTTATATATAATGCAATAAATGTAATTTTTTATTTGGTACAAAATATAAAGTAATTTAATTGTTTTTTATTAACATTTATAGTAATATTTTAGTGATACAAAATATAAATAATTTAATTTTTTATTCATGTGTGTATATATATTTACTTTTTTGTTTTTCATAATTTTATTGAGACCATTTTATAATTCATATAATAAAACTATTATTTTTAAAAGGTACTAAAAATTGGTCCTATAAAAGTATGGCAGCAGGTCTTTTACCCACTTAAAATATTACTGCCAGAATCCAAGTCCGATTATAAGTAAGGGATTCAAATCCGTTTAGGTACCTCTTTAACATCAAAAAGTTTTTTATTTTTTATTTTTTAAAAATAAAAACCAAATAAGAATTATAATATCGAATATAATTATTGCACTAATTGTAATTGAAAAGGTGTATATATTTATTTTTTTAAATTATTTTTAATATTTTTAACGAATAGTGATACTTGAGTCGAATATTTTTTTATCTTATTTAATTTTCCGGTCATTATATTTAATTAGAAAATTAAAAAGCAATAATATAGCCCTTTATTTTTTTCTTATTTTCAATATTTTCTCATTTTCTAGTCGAGTATATAAAGCAAATTAGCTTGCTATTTTTCAACAATTTTGCTAGTATCTCCTTGAGTTTGATCAACTCAAGAAATTTTAGCCATTCCAAAATCTGAAATTTCTGGATTCATATATATATATGCATCAAGGGACACAATTCGTTGGTAAATTGCTTTTTTTTTTTTAGTATGCATATAACTACGATAAATTGTATATCCTTTTTTAAAAAATATTATTTATAATGATCCTTAAAAAAACTATTCTCTTTGGCCCAAAAGAATAGTCCACTTTCTATTTTTACATAGATTAAGAAAGTAGTGATTATTATAGTTAAAAAACAAGTTTATTTATATAACTTTTCTATTATGTCATCTTAAATAATATATGAGGAATTATTATATTGAAATAATAAGTAAGAATTTACGAGGATTATTGAAACTAAGATAAAATTTAACAAAGACATGATATACAATTTAAGAAATAATTATAATGCAAAAAAGAAAAGCAAATTATATTTTGGGACAAACAATAAAGGAATGATGTATTATTTTTTTATAACGGAAAGAGTATATTAAATAAATTAGTTGGTGGGACCATTAGCCTCTTGCTTGGTAATATAGGTTGATAGGTTGAAACAAATCTTGAGTGATAATTCAGTGAAGTAAGGCTTTTGTGTTTTGAGGGTTAAGTTTAGATTCTCCATGTTTGCATTCTAAATCTTTTGTACATTTACTTTGCATTTTTATTCACACACACACCCATTTTGTTGAATAACCATACAAAAGGCTTTTATATGATTTTAGTTTGTATTTCTTCAGTTTCTAATTGCTGTTTAATTCTATTTAAACATGCATTATTGGTTATATCTTTTATGTCTTCTTCTTTAGATTTTATTAAAGAATTCTTCTTCTTTAGATTTATTAAAGAATTATTTCTAAAAAATTTTAATAGAATGAGCTTTTAGTAAATTTAAAATTGTTTTTTTTTTTAAGTTTCTGTGAATTCTCCAAATAAATTTTATGATGTCTTATTTTAAATTTAATACAATCTTCTTTAACTGAATATGGTGTGATTAGGTTTATAAAAGGAGTTCCTAAAATGACCATATAATTGATTTCAGGTGATAATAGAAGTACTGAGTTTATTTCTAGACCTTGATTTACTATTTGTGCATCTGTTTTACCTATAATTTCGAGTTTAGATTTATTTGCAGTTCTAAGTTTTTCATTAGTTTTAGACCAATATCTCTTAGGTATTAAATCTGATTTTATACAATTCAAATCTGCTCCTGTGTCAAACAGTGCAATTGCATCTAAAATAAAATCATTTATCCTAAGATTGATTTTTATTAAGTATTTCCTAGAAGTTATTTCTTGTAATAAATTGAGGAAATTACCATCTACGTCTTCATTTAATTGGTTTATGTCTTCTTTTATATCATTATCTTGTTCGTCTTCAGAAGAACTAGATACAAATTGGGATTCTAATAATTTTAGTAATTTATCATGCAATTGAAATCCCTTTTTATTTTAGTAATTTATCATGCAATTGAAATCCCTTTTTTAATTCTTTAACTTCATTTTTTAGTGTTTTAATTTTAGAAACTTCTTTTATTAAATCTTTTTCAATATCGTCTTTATTTAAAACATTTAATTCTCTATTGATATCACTAACATTTTCAGTTATAGCTGAAGCTGTTGGTGATTCAAGTGATGAATTTACTAAATTGGATTGTTGATTAACATAGTTATCTACAGGATTATAAACTGCCTGTGGAATGTGAGAACTATAATCAACACCTTTCATTTTATTAGGAATGTCCGAGGTAGAGTACCTAGGTTTTACTAAAGTTTGAATTATTGGTTTATGCTCAGGTTCTTTATATTTAGCATAAATCATAGAAGGTATGGAGGAACTGGGTTTATCATTTTCATCTGTAGTAACAGAGGAAAATGACCCTGTATACCTCATACTTTGACTTCTATTAAATTTTAATGTTACTTTACCATCTTCAAATTGTTCAATTTTTTGTAAAATTTTTGTAACGAATTGATATTTGGTTTTAATGGTTCTAAGTAACTGGGAGGAGGTAAACCCTTCCAAAATCCATCATTCCGGAATGTGATTCTTTCCATTGAATGGTTTTAGGTATCACAGTGTTTGTTTTAGTTGTAAATCCGTTTGAAGAAAACGTGTTTCTCCAATTTAGGTTGTAATTTAAATTATACCAAAGGCGGAGTTCATTGCTTTATAAATGAATTTATATATTAAAGCTATAGGAAAGTAGATCCTTGTTTTTTCATTTTAAATTATGGGTTTAATTTCCAAAACAGATACTTTCTAAAATATTTATAATCATTTTAATGAGACAATCACATCTGGATAGATCTCAAAAAAGAATCGGTCCTATCACTTAAAGCTAGTCTCACAACTATCCTACCTAAAGAATCTTGAAGTTTTAAAAAATCTAGCATCTCTTACAAGCTGAAAAGAATAACTAGTGTTTAATCCTTCTCTTGTTAAAGGTTTTTTATTACCTAACTTGTATTGAAATCCTATATGAATATATTTATATTTTTTACTTTTATGGTGTTGCAAAGTTTTTGAAGAAAAAAGTTAATCTCTTTTCAAAGGTTTACATGAGTTGAAAATCTCTTTCTTCAGTTTTAAAATCACATAATCGGGTTTTAAATAAGTTAAATTTATTAATTTATAATTTGTTCTTTATCACTTTAGGTTATTCCCATTCATCAATCTGCTTTACCTAAAAATCCTGTAAAATTAATTGCATTTCTGTTAATGACCCTTTTAATTTCGGAGTTATCATGAGTCTTCAAATCTATTACTACTGTAAGCCCGATCTACATAAACAAAGGATCCATTTTTATAAGATACTATAAACTTAATGACAACTGTTCGCGGGTTATACCTTCCTGTTATGATCCCTTCGCTGCCGACTGTGCCAGCATGGGTCTTTAAGCACGGGGTTCATGACGGAAATAGGTCAATGGAACAAAAGTCAAGAAAACTGTTTATTAAATATATAATAATGAAGTCTTTATATGTATACCAACACAGCAGATTTCTAGAATCTTTTAGGCTCTGATACCAACAAAAGGAAAGGAACAGTTTAATTTATTAAAGAATTGTAATTTCTAAAATTTTTAATAGAAGATGAGGCTTTTAATAGAATGAGCTTTTAGTAAATTTAATTGTTTCTTTTTAGGTTTTTCTGTGAATTCCAAATAAATTTTATGATGTCTTATTTTAAATTTAATACAACGATTTCTTAGTTGTTTAAATTATGTTATTGATTTTTATCCCAATTTAAATTGTATGATAAAACCTTTGCATGATCGTTTACGTAAAAATGTTGGTCCTTGGACAAATCAGCATACTCAATTGGTAAAAAAGATCAAGTCTTTAGTCAAAGAAATACCTTATTTGTATATCCCTAATCCTACAGCATTTAAAATCGTTGAAACGGATGCTTCGGACATAGGATATGGTGGTATTTTAAAACAACTAATAAATGGTAAATAGCGTATCATCCAATATACTTCTGGTCATTGGATTCCTGCTCAACTTAATTATTCTACTATTAAAAAGGAAATTTTAAGTATAGTCATATATATTAATAAATTTCAATCTGATCTTTTAAATCAAAAATTTTTATTGAGAATTGATTGTAAATCTGCAAAAGATATTTTGCAAAAGGAGAATTGATTGTAAATCTGCAAAAGATATTTTGCAAAAGGATGTTAAAAATCTTGCCTCTAAACAGATTTTTGCACGATGGCAAGCATTATTAAGTGTTTTTGATTTTGATATTGAATTTATTCCTGGCAATCAAAATAGTATCCCTGACTTTCTCACCCGCGAATTCCTACAGTATCATGGGACGAAAGAAGGATAAAAGCAAGGGCAAAGAATCTAAAGAGGAATCTTCCTCCCCTAGTAAAGCTCTTTCTGAGCACTCAGATGACCTTAGTAAAAACCTAAACACTATATCCACCCCTACTAAAGACCTTAAACTATGGATTGAGGAACTCTCTCAATCTCCAGAAGTTCTTAAAGCATTACAGTCAATGGCATCCTCTTCAGCGGGGGACACAGGTATGTCTTCTACAACTAAGGCGATCGTATCCGCCCATGGTACGGCTATTCCGTCTCAAACGGTAGACGGTAAAGAATTATCAAATCCGTTAATGGCTGTGGATTTGCTAAAAATCCAATATCATAAAACCAGTAATATACATAAATGGTTTGTAAAAAATTATTTTGACTATGAAATTCCGATCGAGGATGGCTATAATAATATAAATCCTTGGTTGATTTCAAAACGATATTACCCTGAGGATTGGTATTTTATTCCAAATGACCTTTCCAAATCCCAGGAATATTATCATAATATTTTGATTGATACTGACTCCGTAAAAATTAAACATAATTTTGATACTAAAAATAAATCTATTATTTTATATTCCTCTATTAAAATCCAACGGATTCTTCATCCTCAAAGTTGGCCTGCACCATCTCTTTATACTCCAGTAAAATTCAAAGTTTTATATAAACATATACATAGTACTGTTTATAATTATTTTGATTATATGGAAGCGTGGGACAAAGTTTTTTGTAGTCAAAATCCCACTTATACTCATTCATGGTTAATCTATTTTGATCAAACCACTTTTACTAAAATCAGTAATATCCCCAATTGGTTTAAACGTTGGTGGCAATATAAAGGACTCTCTGAGGAGATTATTCCTCATGGAATCCATTATCTGTTTCAATATTTTAAAACCCATTATAAACCCACACCTGAAGAAATCAGTATACCATCCTTAATGTATTACTGTATGACCTTCTTCACACCCTGGGTTTATCAATGGTTTTTTGATTCTCAGCCTCTCCAGGGAACCTCCATTCCCATGATAGTAAAACGCCATAAAATTAAATGGTGGGGATCCTTCAAAAATACCACCACTGAACTTAAAATTAATCAATGGATCCGCAGTAAATTATCTCAGCCCATTAAACCAACTCTAACCTATGCATCTACATTGGCCATTTCTGAAAACTCACAATTTGGGATCCAAAAAGCCCAATGCCAGGCCCGGTTAGCAGCCGCTAAAACTCCTGAGGAGTATAAACTCATTTGCCAAGAAATGTTCGAACATTTGACAACTAGTGCGGACCAAAGAATAAAAACTTCGTCAAGTAAAGCAATTGGTGCATGTTCATCCAGTAAGCCCATTAAAAAATAAAACTCCTGAGGAGTATAAACTCATTTGCCAAGAAATGTTCGAACATTTGACAACTAGTGCGGACCAAAGAATAAAAACTTCGTCAAGTAAAGCAATTGGTGCATGTTCATCCAGTAAGCCCATTAAAAAAGCCCATAAAGGTAAAAAGAAGACTTGGGCCTCCGTAGCATCTTCCTCATCCTCCAACTATTCGACCAGTGATAGTGATGATGAAGACAGCATTACATCCGCCATAAAAATTAAAAGTAAAGATGATAAATCTAAAGCAAAGTTAAAACTGAAAGGGAAAAGCAAAAAACAGGTAAAAGACAGACTTAAAAAGAAAAAGCAGGACAACTCATCATCCTCTTCTTCGTCCTCTTCCTCGGATAATTTGTAAAAGCATCTTCAACAGTAAAAAGTAAAGATTCAAAGGCAGACAACTTACTGTTCATCCACAGTAAAGTCAACTACAGTAAAGATTCGATGGCAGACAAAGAACTGTTCATCCACAGTGTAAAGCAAATAGTAAAGATTCCAATCTATGTTATTTAAAGAGAGCCTCTCCTCTTTGTGAAGGAATAAGTTTTAGATTTACCTTGTTTCTCTCCTCTCCTTTACTGTAAGGGTTCAAGGCTAGAAGATTCAGGTTAGTCTGAACTTATCAATTAAATTTGTATATTTTAAATCTTGTATTTCAATTTTGTAATAAAATAAAAGTTTTATTTTGTATATCATATTAAACTGCTACTTCTATAAGTCCGTGTTAACGGCACCTTTCTTCTTCCTTCTCCACACTCTGACTTGATTCTGGGGATCCCAAGTCAAGGTTGCAGGAACCCTAAACCATAAATTAAAAACTTGTTTGTGTTTTGATTGTTGTATAAGTATGCTCTATGGATGCAGCTTAGTCTAATCTTCCACATCAGAAAAACTGTTTAAATTGTATGTTGATTCTGAAGTAAAATATTAGATCTAAACAGTATTTGTTTATAAATAGTATTGGTATATCAGATAGTATTGGTATATCAGCTGGACAACACATAGACCCGTGGTATAACCTCCTGGTGTTTATCATTGCACTTGATAAACAAGGGAAACTTTGTGCTACAACGCTACGTACCATACTTAAACATATTAAATGATTTATATGATAATAAATCCAATTGATAATAGTATCTTACTTGATATATATATTAATGATATGTTCATTAATATGTATATTGATGTAGATCGTTGTTTAGTAAATGCTTATGTTGGTTTTGATATGTATGATATGTTTCTAAACCTGTAAGATCTAAATCTGAGATTTGTTAAACGGTCCTTTCCTTTTGTTGGTATCAGAGCCTAAAGATTTAGATCTGCTTGTTGGTATACATATAAAGACTTCATTTTATAATATATTATAAACAGTCTTGACTTATAAACAGTACTTGACGTTTTGTTCCATTGAACCTATTTTTCTGTACTGAACCGCGTGCTTAAGACCCATCAGTGTGGAGTGGCATAAGGTATATACAGGAAGGGTAATAAACCTGGAACAGTGTGTCCATTAAGGTTTATGGAGTATCTTATAAATGGGGATCTTGGGTTATGTAAGAATCGGCACCTAGTAGTAAATAGATCTGAAGAACTCAGTATAACTCCGAATTAAGAAAGGGTCATAAAGAAATGAATTAATTTTAACAGGATTTTGAGGTAAAGCAGATTGGATGGAATGGGAAATACCTAAAGTTGATTAAAGAACAGATTTATAAAATTAATAAGATTTAACTTATTTAAAACCGGATTATGTGATTAAACTGAAGAAAGAGATTTTCAAAACACTCAGTAGAACCTTTTTGAAAAGGATAACTCTTTTTTCTTCCTAAAACTTGTGCACAGCCATAAAAGTAAAAATATAAATAGTAATTCATGATAGGATTAATACAAGGTAGGAATAAAACCTTTAACAAAGAAAAGGATTTAACAATAGTAATTCTTGCAGTGTAGAGATGCTAAGATTTATGTTAACACTTTCAAAAGATTCTTTATTAGGAATCTGTTGAGACTAGCTTAAGTGAGAAGGCCGATCGCTCTTTGAGTCTATATCCAGATATTGACTTGTGCTCAATTAAATGTAATTTAACATATTTTAGAAAGTATTGTTTGGAAATTAAAACTTTAGAAATTAAAACACATAATTATAAAATGAAGCAGGGATCAATTCCTATAGCTTTAATTTATAAAATTCATTATAAAGCAATGAATTCAGCTTTGGGTACTAAATATAAATTACAACCTAAAATTGGGGAAACTCGATTTCTTCAAACGGATTTAACTAAAACAAATACAGTAATACCTAAAACCATTCAATGGAAAGACATAACACTCCCAGATGAATGGATTTTGGAAGGGGTTGTACCTCCTCCCGTCATAGAAAAAGTAAAACCAAATATCAATTTACAAAAAATTGAACAATTTGAAGATGGTAAAGTTACATTAAAATTTAATAGAAGTCAAATTAAAATTTAATAGAAGTCAAAGTATGAGGTATACAGGGTCATTTTCCTCTGTTACTACAGATGAAAATGATAAACCCAGTTCCTCCATACCTTCTATGATTTATGCTAAATATAAAGAACCTGAGCATAAACCAATAATTCAAACTTTAGTAAAACCTAGGTACTCTACCTCGGACATTCCTAATAAAATGAAAGGTGTTGATTATAGTTCTCACATTCCACAGGCAGTTTATAATCCTGTAGATAACTATGTTAATCAACAATCCAATTTAGTAAATTCATCACTTGAATCACCAACAGCTTCAGCTATAACTGAAAATGTTAGTGATATCAATAGAGAATTAAATGTTTTAAATAAAGACGATATTGAAAAAGATTTAATAAAAGTGAAAAAGATTTAATAAAAGAAGTTTCTAAAATTAAAAACTTAATAAAAATGAAACAGATATTAAAAACTTATACTTTTGAAGAATTAAAATATGAATATTTAGAGTATAAATTAAATACACAAAATGATATAAAATTCTTTGATTGGTATGACTTAGTTAGAGAACATGAATCTAATAAAGAATTAAATCCAATAACAGCTAGAGATAAAAGACTAGAATTCATTGTAAATAATCAAACAATAAAAAGTGATTTTCCACCTAAAACAATTAGTAAATTAAAACATCAAGATAATGAAATTATCTGTGCACCCTATAAAGTTACTAGAGAAAACGATGTAAATAGTAAACTAATTGAACAAAATAACTTTAGTAATGCCAGTTTAATTTGTTTGAATTCACGATTAAAACGGATAGAACATTTATTAGGAGATAAACCGTTAATTACAGAAAATACAAAAGAAAAAGAAACTGTAAAAACTCACATGTTTAAACCTTTTCAAATTTCTAAAACAAGTCAAACTGAATTTGTAAACAAGTTAAAAGATCAGTTAAGTAGGCTTGAAGTGCATTCAGCGACTACTCAACAAGCAGCTCCTGATACCCCTCAAGCATCAAGAAATATCAATAATTTAGAAGAAACTTCTACCTCTGACATTAGTGAATCAGAGTCAGAAGATATAAAATAATTTGAACTAAACCCCATAAATCATCATAGAGAGATAGTAAATAGAGCACCAGATTTAGGTATAATCGATAAACCTAATGCTATAAATCAATTTAAATATAATGCTTCAACTATTTATGAATGGAACATAGATGGTTTAAGTGAATATAATATATTAAGCATATTGCAACAAATGACAATGGCTGCAAATGCTTATAAAACTCAGTCAATTATATCTGATAAAGCTATAGCAGAAATTTTAATTGCTGGCTTTACAGGACAATTAAAAGGTTGGTGGGATTGTGGGATTCATCACCTAACCTGACCAACAACACTTGGAAATTTTAAAATTCAATTCAAGTAAATTGATGAAGGAGAACCTATATTACGATTTGAAAATGGTGTGAGTTAATATCAGGGTGCACTTATGTGTCATCTTTTAATTCTCACTATTTCATTACATTTTTATTGGCGATTCCATCTCATTTAAAAGATAAAAATGCAGAGTTTTCCATCTCATTTAAAAGATAAAAATGCAGAGTTACTAAGTAATTTAAAATGTAAATACTTAAGTGATTTTCAAAATTATAAAACTACTTTTCTCACTAGATTAATGTTAAGGGAAGATTCCAGTCAAGCTTTTTGGAAAGAAAAGTTTTTGGCAGGACTACCTTATTTTTTAAGTGAAAAAGTTAGGAATTCTATTAAACAACAATTTGGTAATCCAATTCCTTATAGTAAACTGACTTATGGACAACTCATAAGCATGGTACAAAAAGAAGGATTACAAATATGTCATGATTTAAAATTGCAAAGAACGATAAAAAATGAAATGCTTAAAACTAAGAAAGAATTAGGCTCATTTTGTAAACAATTTGATTATGGCATAACATCTTCTCAAAGATGTGATGGCCAGTGTTCTAGGATACATAAACCTAAAAAACATTATACACATAAATATAATAAACATTATAGAAAGCATTATAGGTCTACACCCAGTAAAGAAAAATATTACCAAAAAGAAAAGTTAAAACCTTATAGAAAATATAAACGCAAACAATCTTCTAAACCTTCAAATAAAACTTCTTTTAAAGATTTAACTTGCTATAGTTGTGGTAAAAAAGGACATACATCTAAATTTTGCAAATTTAATAAAAAATTACATGAATTAAATTTAGATGATGAAGTGTTGAATAAAATTCATGCTCTATATCTTGATTCTGACACTTCAGAATCTGAATATATAGAAAGTGAGAATGAAATTGATGAATTAGGAACAACAACTAGTTGATCTGACAAATCTTTAAATGTATTAACTAAAGATCAGTATACACTTTTAGAAGTGGTAAGTAAATTGGACGATCAAGAAACTAAAGCTAAATTACTTCAACAACTCATTAAAAGTTTTGAAGATAAACCAGTAAAAGAAGATATAACTCCTAAAATTCAAACTAA